GCAAAGTCGGTATATATATATATATATATAAATAAAAAAACAACCTTAAGCTAATCCATAACTAGCTAATGATTTGAATAAAGCATGTGGCAGAAGTTGATTAAATGTAATTAAGTAAAAAAAAAGAAAAAAAGAAACAGCAGGAAGAGGGAGAAATGCTAATGTGAAAATAGCAGTGAATTCCATCTATTCCACAAACAGTTAGAGACAAGAATTCTTGTTGAATATTTTTCGTTAAAAGTGTTTTTTATTTTTTCTGCTCTTGAAGATTATTCCGTGAAGCTGTTCATTCACTGTCACTGATGGAATAATAAACTCCACTCATTATTACAAGGACTGTACCGAGTACTTACTCCCTGAGTACGTACTCTCACCGTATTTACATGGGAAACATAATTATCTTTTTATTTTTCCTCTCATCTTTCTGGCCATAACTTTCTTAATTAACGCAATTTAATTTAACAACAGGCAGAGATAAACGTGCAGCCAGAGTAAAATACAAGTTTATTACTCAAAGAAAAACCACAGCCCTGCACTTTCTCTCTCTCTCGCTCTCTCTCACTGTACTACTGTGTTTTGTTTTGTTTTGTTTATGACCAGCTCTGTGAGAATCACAGCACCTGTACCGAGCATCACCTCCGTCTCTTCGTCTCCGTGCAGATTCAGCGACTGCACTGTCAGCGTTGACATGTCCTCTGGCAGAGACACTCTCACGCAGCGTCACAGACGGTTGGTGTGTTTATTGGACAGAGTCGGCGGAGGAGAGATTCAAACCTGCGTCCTCCGTCAAGGACACGCAGCCTTTTGATTTAGAGCCGCTGGCAGGACGACAACCAGGAGCTGGCGGGTTTGAAAGATTTAAACACAGCAGAGAGAAAGTTGCTGCTGCAGCTGCCAGAACAGGATTACACAGAGACACAGGCGGCGACAGGAAGTGAAGGTCGAGTTAGATACAGGGTTCTGAGGTGGAACGATATCAAAATCCTCCCACAGAGAACCTGAGTTGGACTGAAGACCTCAGGGAATTTTGGTTCAAGCTTAAAGAACCCACGGTATTCCAGAAAATTCCAGGCAAGAAAACAATCAATCAATACGTTCAAATGAACTTTAGGGTCCATTACTGCCACCTACAGGGCTGGAATGTGTGCTTGTCTTCATCGAGTCTGTGGGTTGAAGCCAATACCAGTAGTCTTTGGGTGAGGGTGGGGTCATAACCTGGACAGTTTGCTCTTCCACAGGGTCAAATACTTTGTACCATGGAGACAAATAGTCATTCACACTAACATTCACACCTACTGTCTGTCTAGAGTGAACAGTTAAGAAACCTGTTTGTTTCTGGACAAACCTCTCACCCACAAGGAGAACATGCAGACTCCATACAGAGAGAGCACAGAGTTCTAGTGGGAATCGAACAGCTGACCTTCTTGCTGTAAGGCCAGTGCACTGACCACTGACCACTGTGTGACTATATTTTTTTGAATCTCATCTAAGAAACGACGTTCTTTTTCCTCTGAAGTTTTGGTGTAAATACTCTGTGGTTTTGCTTCTGATGGTAGAACATGTTTTCTTCGCAGTTTATTTTGGGTTTTTTTTCTTTGAGCAGAGGAAACAGTGGGTTGTTTATTTTGGGTTTTTTTTCTTTGAGTAGAGGAAACAGTGGCAGCTCTAACTGCCGTCTCACTCTTTTAAAATGATTTTGAAACCATTTTCAAGTGTTTAAAGTTTGATATAAACCCATTGCAGATCCACTCACCCGAGGCTGAGTCATTAAACTTTAATATCTGCTGCTAAAACCAGGCAAAGACCGGAGACATTGTTTTTCTTTCACCTCAGAACCAACTGTTCTTCAGCTCACGTCGTTGGTCAGAGGCAGGATTTGGTTCTGGTGCAGCTGGAAGTTGGAGATTCTGTCAATAAACCATTAGAATTCCAAATCTACACCTGAAAAAAAAAAAAGAAGACATTTACCAAGAGTGAGTCTGAAGTACGACCCAGGTTCACAGATGAACTACTGTCAAAGAAAACACATGCAAAAGGTTAATGCAGATATATTTGTTTTTACAAAAAGCTCACGTTTTTTCAATTTCTGATTTACTAAAAATGTTTTCAAAATTATTTTTTAATATTCTCCTGGGGACACCTCAGCTTGTTCTCGTGTGTCCTCCTGAAGACGTCGTCATCACTGGGATGAATATAAGTTGGAGCAGGAAAACAGCAGTGACACTGACACACTGTTGACTGACTGTTAACTGACTGTTGACTGACTGTTGACTGACTGTAGACTGACTGTAGACTGACTGTTGACTGACTGTTGACTGACTGTAGACTGACTGTAGACTGACTGTTGACTGACTGTTGACTGACTGTTGACTGACTGTTGACTGACTGTTGACTGACTGTTGACTGACTGTTGACTGACTGTTGACTGACTGTTGACTGACTGTTGACTGACTGTTGACTGACTGTTGACTGACTGTTGACTGACTGTTGACTGACTGTTGACTGACTGTTGACTGACTGTTGACTGACTGTTGACTGACTGTTGACTGACTGTTGACTGACTGTTGACTGACTGTTGACTGACTGTTGACTGACTGTTGACTGACTGTTGACTGACTGTTGACTGACTGTTGACTGACTGTTGACTGACTGTTGACTGACTGTTGACTGACTGTTGACTGACTGTTGACTGACTGTTGACTGACTGTTGACTGACTGTTGACTGACTGTTGACTGACTGTTGACTGACTGTTGACTGACTGTTGACTGACTGTTGACTGACTGTTGACTGACTGTTGACTGACTGTTGACTGACTGTTGACTGACTGTTGACTGACTGTTGACTGACTGTTGACTGACTGTTGACTGACTGTTGACTGACTGTTGACTGACTGTTGACTGACTGTTGACTGACTGTTGACTGACTGTTGACTGACTGTTGACTGACTGTTGACTGACTGTTGACTGACTGTTGACTGACTGTTGACTGACTGTTGACTGACTGTTGACTGACTGTTGACTGACTGTTGACTGACTGTTGACTGACTGTTGACTGACTGTTGACTGACTGTTGACTGACTGTTGACTGACTGTTGACTGACTGTTGACTGACTGTTGACTGACTGTTGACTGACTGTTGACTGACTGTTGACTGACTGTTGAACGGTGCAGTCTGGTCGTTTTTCTTCATCTGTCAGACTCTGAACTTTACAGACAAATAAAAATAGTTTTTATTTTCACATAATTCTCCAGACATCGACAGCCGGGGAGGAGGAGGTTCTGTGCCATCACTGGATATAAACTCAGGTCAAGATAAAGGTTATGGACTGATGACAAGGTTCTCACCTCAGACACGTGTCCCTCAGAGTTCCTGGTACCGACTGTTGGGGTCAAACTGGGGTCAACCTTCTACATCAATGCAGTGCAATTGTTTTTGGAGGGGGAAAAAAAATCATGTGACAAAAGTCCTCGAACAGAAGTTGTTGAAAGTAAATCTTGATTTCAGGTTTTAAAAGAAAAACTTTGATTGAGTTTAAGAAAATCAGTTTTAAATGAGGAGATTTAACACGGTCGTGTCCAGACTAAATGAAAAGGAATCGTCTCAGAGAAATAGGTTTCAGACTGAAGTACAGTAATGTACTTCAGTCTGGTACTACAACGTACTGTAAATACACAGTAAGATGACACTCACCCACACATTAGCCATTAGCCTCTAATTAACTTGTAGACTATGACAGTGAACGTCTCCTTCCTTCTATTTACAGCAGCTCTTCATAAACATTAACACCGCTCCCCACCCCCCACCCCCCCTCCCACCCCAGACTTAAACATAGTCTGGCGGTGGAAACACCTTCAGCGTGTGTGTGTGTGTGTGTGTGTGTCCTGCCAGATCTCATTGTTAGGCAGTGAGAAGGGAAATGTCATTGTTCAGTGCGGAGCCTGGAGGAGCCTTGTCACACACACTACACAGATCTGTGTTTGTTTGGCTTGTTCTGACAGCCACCATTCATCACCGCTGCCGGGCATGTGGACTCAAACACAGCCCACAGCTCAAACGCCAGGAACTTTCTTTTTTTTTTTTCTTTCTTATCTTCCAGGACGGATCCTATAGTCTGACTCCGTGGCCTTCTCTCCTTCACTTCTCTCCATCTTTACATTGTTGTTTTTCTCATTTCTGTTATCGTTTGTAGTCTCTCAGCTGCCGCCTTTTTCTTCCGTGTCTCTGTCGACTTTCAGTGACAGGAAGTGGAACAGAAACATCCAGGTGAACACTAAAAAAAATAAAAATTATGGGGGAACTTTTACCACATTACCACAGTGATTCCAACCTTCATTTACTTCTTGTTGATACATGTTTGGTTGCAGTAATAAACTGTAGTACCAGTTGTAGTGCTACATCATTGTACACCGCGGCCTTGGCCTTTGTCCGTGGACACGCCCCCCGCATTGTAAACCACAGCACTTGAAGATTCATCGCTCTGACTTTGAGGTCATTGTATAAAATAATTTCCGCTTCATTTTTGATATTTCTTCTGATGAAAATTACGACCTCCGGTTCACGTGAATTAAAAATCAATACTTTCTGCGTCAGTGGTGAAGGATTTAGTATAAACGAGGTTCTGTGGAAGCCCATCAATACTTTAACTTTAATACCAGCTCCTCATTAAACACCAGAAAGACTTTGAAGTACCATTACCATCTTAACCTGTCTTCAATATTAATTAGAGGCTGCGTTAAATCAGTGTGGATCCGTCCACATAAAAGTGTCTGCTTTTATTGTGTTGTGTTAATAACACTCCACCAGAGTCAAGTCTCTTTTGATGGGACTTAACGAGGCGCCGTCCATCAACTGTTGGACTCTTTGTCTCGCTGTGTCTTCTGCCTCACTCGATCTCTCTCTCTCTCTCTCTCTCTCGGTTTCTCAGGTTGACTGGAGTCTAAACGTAAAATAACATGTTATTTTCCTCCGTGGTGATAACGAGAGGAGTGAACTGTAGTTGTTGTTGATGATGATCGAACTTTAATCACGATGACAAAACAATAACTCTCTGACCCTCAGCATCAACATTCTATTAAAAATAATGAGAAATATTTTTAGCATTAATTATTATTTTAAGGTGAATTTTAAGGCTGAAAACACCGGGATCATGATTATCTCAATGTCTCAATACGAATTGATTTAAATTGGTACTAAATAATCTATTAGTTCATGATGTGTGAAAGATGTAAAAAAATGAACTGCAGTATGTTCCCTCAGTTTGTTGGAACAGCTCGAGTCCTAAAAGTCCTGGCATCAAACACACAGTCGCCTCCACCAGGCATCAAACGGCAGCAGTAATGGCTGGAATCAGAAACCTGGTAATTGGACCGGTTCAAGTGCAGCCGCTCGGTTTGTGCTCAGAATAAAGGCTACATGGAAGAAAACAAGTGAAGTCTGGGGTCCGCGCTAATGTACAGCGGCGGCAGCAAATTAAGGCGAGAGCAGATGCATGTCCATAATCAAACACACAATGAGTCCAAGTGTCAAGCGTCGGTTCGTCTGATTCCACAGTGAAAAACAAATGAAGTGAAGGAAGCGGCTGCACCGACGCCTCCTCATTAACCAGGCAGCAGGGGCTTTTCATTCCTCTGTCAACCCTCAGACCTGCTGCTGAGAGGCAACCTTTTATGCATGAGCCACCACAAAAGATTTGAATAATAGGGACAAAATCATTCAAAAATGTCCAGACTTTTGGTACAATGTGGGCAACGGTTTGAAATCCAAGAGGATCTGAGGTAAATTGATTTTCTTTACCTCTTTGATCGGGTCCTGGATTTTAGTTTTTTGCTTCCCTTTATCGTGAAGTTCTGCAGCTGTGGCTGTGTTTACATCCTCGTCAAAGTATCCTTTGGTAGAATATCTTTTTAAGAATTGGGTTACAGTGGCGAGGCATGCAGTTTGAGGAGCAGATGGATTAAATATCAGGGTAATCCCATCTTCTTGGTCGTTAAGGAGAGGTCGACAGATGAGGCCAGGTGGGAGCTGTCATGGATCATGATGTTTGCAGATTACATCATTTGCATTGACCGTAGGGAGCAGCAGGGGGGGCTCTACGGAAGACAGGATGATATGACGGTGCCTAGAAGAAGGTCTGGTCAATGTCTTACTAGCTGGTAGTGAGATCTGCTATGACTTAAACCATTTTCTAAATCTTATTTGGCTTGAATTTCCTCCCTTGAATTTCACTGCTCTAATTTGCCGTCCGGCGTCAGTCTCTGCTGGACTGTAGATGAACCTGCGTCTGCCTCAGAGACTCGCTGTGTCTAAATCGGTGTAATCTTTTCAATCTCTTCTCCAGTCCCTGTGGAACAGAAGGAACAGTGTGATAATGGTCTGCACTCGTCAACACACACACTTTCACATTTATCTCCCTACTTCGATCTTCCCTCGACTCTTTATTGGTTTGAATTTCTTATTTACTCACGTCCAGTGTTATGTTGTCCCAGTCTCATCATTATAAAGGCACAGGAACTTGTACCAGGAACTAGGTACCAGAACGTAAACCAGGTGTGTCCTGACTCAAGAACCCAAACTAGGCAGAGAGAGTGTGTGTCTAACAGGTGTGTGCATACTACAGAGAGAGAAAATTAGCTACAAATCTGACACAAAAGAAGATGTGGGGTATCGTGAGACAGACGCATTTGAATGCAAATTAATGCAAAAATAATTACATTCATGTACAGTGTCAAGGTCCAATGAAAGTTGATGATGCCATATTTAATTATGTGAGTCTTAGTTAGCTCAAGGCTGCTGCAGATACAGTAAATGTGCTGTGTTTAATATAGAACAGAAACACCAGAGGGATGATGACAATTTTTCACTAGAAAGGAGAAAATAAACAAAATGTCTCAAACATTTTTGTCTATAATTTAGCTGCATGAAAATTTGAAATGAATGTAACATGACAGAAGACATGAGAGCAAAGTGTCAGACGTGGTTGGAATAAAGAAAGGAAAATGACATGTTTATAATGGTGAATCCTCATGCAGCAATGATGCAGCTCAGTGGAGCGGAAAAGGAAAATCAACTTCAGGGGGTCTTCAAGGTTTTTCAAGACCCTCAAACAGATGGAAAGATGAAGCAAGGACCTTTTCTATGTATATTCCCTGTATAAAACTGTTACTGTGTATGTAAGTAGAGATCTGGTGCTGTGAATAAAAATACTTTGTTATTTTGTATTTCATACAAAGTATGTTCATATAACACACTGGTAATTATAGTGATGTTTTTTGTTTTATTTTAAACATTTTGTATTTTTAACAACAAAAGACAGTGAGTACAATGTCAACAGATATCTATCACTGCCACGTAAACTGCCGTAATCTTCGGATTTTAAAGTTTTCCACTGTACGTGAACGCACCTCACCTGATAGCTGCAATTTTGACGTGACGTCATAATTTGTGTACACCTTGCGTTTGGTGCCTGTCATGAAGATGGCTAAACCCTCGAGCTAGCATTTAGCTAACTTGTGGAAAAACGGACGAATGTTTGACAAGAAATAGACCGGAGCAACAGTTTATTATGAAGTTTACTGCTGAAAACAGGTTTGTTAATCATTTTCATAAGCTAAACAAATGTGTTAAAGTGAGTAAAAGCCAGAGAATACATTGTAAAAGTCGACGATTCTTTACATATTTTGTAGCATTGTCTGTGGGTTTACAAAGAGAGTGACAGAGTGCAGTAGCATGTTTCCAACGCTCATTCACCATATGACATTTAGAGGGGCGCTGTTTCACACCATAAAATTCTCGAAGAAGAAGAGAAGGGGGAGACGACATTGTTGTCTTTTTAATTATTATTATTATTATTATTATTATTATTATTATTATTATTATTATTATTATTATTATTATTATTATTATTATTATTATTATTATTATTATTATTATTATTATTATTGAATTACGGTTATATTCTTAGGATTGGAAAAGTTTGGAACCTCTGTCTATAGAGTATCATATGGTATTATATATGGTAATATATTGATAAATGGTATTGTGAAGACTGTCAATTGTCTCAACATCTAACACATAACCTACTTTTAGGGCAATTGTATTATTAACATTATTATTATTATCTTTATCTTTAAATAAGTCTTTAACTCAGATTTGTTGACTATCTGTTGGATTATATTCCCACCTCCACAGACACACTGAGCGTTTTCATTTGAATACCTGCAGGTGGACTGTGGCCAGAGAGGCAAATTATGCTTGACTCCTCCTGGGGGAAAAAAGAGAGAGTTACTGTTTATTTTACTGTTAAAGAAATCAGCTGAAGAAGAAAGTACTGTTTAAAATACTTTTTTACTGTGATAGTGTTTAAAACTATTGTCCACAAAAATCACAGACGGCAGGAATAAAACGTTGGCATTTGAGAATAATAGGAAGAACAAAGACATTAAGTTCATATTTATAGCATTGATGTTAAATATCAGTATTTCTAACATTTCTTTATTTGCTAGCCTGAAACCTCCCCACCCCAACACATGTTCACCTTTTGCAGCTTGCCAATTTGACCTCTGACACCTGAAGGAGACGTTGGGTCGATTTCATCTTCTTGATTCGTCACAGTCTGTCCCAGTGCATCAGTCAGACGTCTTATGATCCAGTCTGGATTCTGAGCTAGTCTGTGGGAATAAAAGCATTATTTTTTTTTTTTCTTTCCCCCAGATAAAACGTTCTGTCAAGCCTCATTTTCCTCCTCCTCTGCTCCTTCTCTTCCTCCTCCTCATCACTCTGTCACATCCATTTTCACTCTGTCTGTTTCTACACAGCTCACAACATCATCACTTTGTTTCTTCTCTTCACAGCTGAGCAGACGGACATGGACACGAGTGGGATTACGAAGGTGGACTTTCCTGTGGCTTCGGTGAGTGTGTGTGTGTGTGGGGGGGGTGTATCTGGCATAGCTATACTTGTGGGGACAATGTGAAAATGCTGTCGTTATGGGGACATTTTTCAGGTCCAAACTGAGAAGATAATTTAAGGTTCTCTTTTCCATGAGGCGGTCTTGTGTCTGAATTCTTTACTAGTCCTTTCTGTTGTATTTTGATCTTTGCCTCAGCTCGTCCTTCCGTCACTCTGTTGAAAACCGTTCTGATCATGAGCGCTGTTTTTGATTCAGCTCAGCTGATCCTCCCTCCAATACAAACCTGGTTACATCACAATCAATGTTAACTCCTGCTGGGGTCACAGGAAGTGACATCAGCCTGAAACAGGCCTGTGGTGACTGGCTCGACTCTGACCAATAGGACTCCTGTGTGAAAACGATTGTGAGATTTATTGATGACAGAGGGTTTGATGGATTTTCACGATGATGGAATGGGTTTTTACCAAAACATTTAAATGCATCACGGCAAGTCTGGTCCGTTATTCATGTGGAATCACTCATCTTTGTTGCACTGGATCCAGCAGTCAATTACAGCTGACAATGTGTGTCGGACATGGATTCAATTAGTGAAAAGAACCATTCATGATGTTCTACTGTAATTTAAAATAACACTGAAGTTAAACTGATGTATCAGTAAGGTGATTTATATGTTCATTATTATAAATTAATGTCCTGTAATAGGATTTAATTTATTAGCCAGGTGCTTCGCACACGTCATTATTTCTCCGCATGAAATCGGAAATTGATTTTATAGTATAGTATTTTATTTCGTTTTTTATTTTATTATATTTTTATCAAATGCCAGACTATTTTTCACATTAATTCAGTTTTATTTAAGTACTGATCTTTACGAATTTCCTTTTTTATTGCTAAATTAGCATTCGAATAAATAATAAATGGAGAAGGTGATTTGTTGATTTTTCAGCACCAAATATTGTTAGACAAAGATCTAAGATGGCTAAAATTGAAGCTGAGCTGAAAATGATTCAATAAATCGAAATATAGAAAAGGAAAATGTTGCACAATTAATTCATTTACCCCACAGGGGTATTTGACAGATACACAAAACAAGTAAATTTACTGTTTTTATGAACTCCTATTTGGTGATACAATCTGCAAAAAAAAAAAAGATGTGTTCACATTGTGAATGATGCAACGGGGCTGTTTGTGTGAGATGGAGGGTAAATTATGAAGGGAGGTGACAGAGTGTGATGAATGCAGGATGCTGATGCGGGTCCCAGGTGTACAGCTGTATGGCAGGTAAGGACAAAGGCAGATAGGATGATGTGTGATGATGGGAAACAGATGATGGAGCGGCAGTGGGAGAGAGATGACAGGGAGGAAGAGGAGGCCTAATCACTGCACGGCAGCGTTGCCCAGAGTGACGCTTCTTTTATTCAAAATGCATGTGTTATCAGCTGAGGCCACAGCAGCAGCAGCAGCAGCAGCAGAGAAAGGCATCACATCACAACAAATGGAGAGTCTGTGTGTTTCTGACAGGATGTGCTCACACAGAGCAAGGAGGGGAGTCAGAAAATTCTGCATTTAATACAGACCCCACGTCCAGAATACTTGATACACCAAATAAAAGTGCATTTACTTCAACAATTGGTAGATACTCCACCAATCAGTAATTGGTACTCAGGCTCATGTCAGGGGTACTTGGCTAAATCTGATCCCCATCCTGCAGTAATCGGTACTCAGGCTCATGTCAGGGCTACTTGGCTAAATCTGATCCCCATCCTGATTATGTGAACCACTAACTACAGTTGTGTTGTAGTCTGTCAGAGTAGTCTAATATTATTAGTAGTAGTAATACTTCACTGTGCAGTAAATTGTTTTGACTGATACATGGACTAATGATCTTGTAGTGGTGTTGACCAGGGTCAAAGATTTGTTGTTGTTGCTGTTGATGCTCAGCTTCAGTGGAGAGTTGCAGCAGAGACTCAACACAGACTCAATAAATGAGGCAAAAAAAAAAACTCACTTCCACAGAAGCCAGGCTTCATTGGGAGACTGAGCAGTTGGTGGTCTTGGAAGCCAGGGTCCTGCATGATGATTGGAGGAAATGTATGAAACACTGAACCATTTTCGATTGTTGGCTGTTTTCTTCTTCTAGCCATTTCCTGTTTCTTCTGCCTTATGCCAAGAGTTATCCAAAAAGTAAAAATGCTGCAGTTGAAAATCCCCCTTAAACAATGTTCAGGAAAACAGAATATCACCCCCTACAGTACTTTTCAAGTACTTAGGATCATTTTTCATGCTGGAAAGTGTCAAATCAGCTGTGATTTCCTCTAAATGTAACAATTTTCATTGTTGATTTTGATTTTCTGAGAATCCTCCAGCTCTGTTATCATTCTGTATGAAGACTAAATTGCTGGTGCAAAAGAAAATCATTGTTCAAAACTGAAATGAAACACCGAGGCTGTTTTCCTCGTTCCGCTGTAATTCGACTTTCATTGCAAAGTATCCGAAAAGCCTCTGAGTTAAAGACGTAATTCTCCTTCCCTCTCTCAGCAGCCCCTGCTGCACTGCTGCCTCCTCGCTGAGCGAGCTTTTATTCCGACTGCCGGCGTTTTAGCGCTGAGACAGGATCACCTCTTATCCATGAAAACGTCCTTCAGCTTCCATTTTCTGGATGAGCAGCTGCACCGGTGTTACATCAGTGGATAACAGCACCTCTCTGACTCTGACTCCTCTCTCTGATTCTTCCTGTTTGTTTATTTCTCGCTTTACCACGACCTTTTAGTATCAGGTATGTTCAAAATCTGGCTCTAGGACCAATAATAGACCAGTTTGATGGAAGTTTATTGTAGTCTATTAATTAGCAATATGTTACTGTGAATGGTATAGTGGTATAACATTGGCTGAGTGACGTGTCATGATGGTCTGTAGGTCTTTGAGGTATAATGACGAACCAACAGTTTTTGAGGTATTCTGTTTCATTAAGCTAATGAATACAGCAGTGACATGCTCTTATTTTGAAACATCTTGTTTAAATGTGGATGAATACAGCAGCGAAACATTATTTTGAAACATCTTGTTTAAATGTGTGTGTGCAAGTGGGAGAGAGTCCTTCGTCTGACAACAGCAGATGAGGAGTTAGATTTAAACAGTAAACTGCTGAGACAGAGACAGTCCTGTGTCTTTAACAGTTCCTGTCGTCTTCTGTGTCAAAGTGAGTCCCTGCATCACGTCCTCAAACCTTCAGCACCTGCAATCTGACGATGAGACAGGCTGGGAATCTGAAGGAAGCTGCTGCGCTGCCCGTGAGACTTGAGCAGAAATGACTGTAGAAATAATAAAAGGAGACTCCTGTCTGCTGTGTCTCATTAGGGACAGATAGATTTCCTTCATTTCCTGCTGTGATGGAGCCTTTGTGGCGAGCAGAGCCGGGCTCAGTGTGAATGATGTAAATATTGGCAGGCCTCAGAGTGATGACTCTGTGAAGCCGTGCAGCCATGCTTGTACACGGGATGAATTATTGAAAGCAGGGAAGCAAACATGACGTGTGCAGCAATCAAATGCACAGACACTTAAAGTCCAATATGGGTAGAAAACAGACCGCCGCGATAACACGCGCTTGGTGATTCTAGTCAGGCAGCAGCAGAGACAACAGACTAAATAAGCCACAGTCAGTGGTTGGTTTGTTTTTTTTTGGCCTCGTGAAATATATTTACTTTTGTCAAACGTGATCCGCTTACATCCAGCGGTATCTCCAACCCATGTTAGACCTTGAGGTGAATGATATTTGAAAAGCTAATACTGTAACCAGTAAGTATATAGCCAACGGGTATGAGAAGTTAGGTTAGTGATATGCACCAATATTGTCAACATTCCAAAGAAGTTTTAAACTGACTTAAACTTTAAACACTTTTATATTAGACCAGTGGAACAGACACAAAAATTATACACCGTTTCTGCGAAACTAGCATAATTTTACTACACAACCGCTGAGAATACACAAGGGAAAACAATATATATAATATATAATATAATAATATGATAAAAATGACCTTAAAAGTGAATAAATTGTTTTATGTAAAGAGAGGTTGAAAAATACCCCAAAAACATAGATATTTAAAAAAATAAATGATTAGCCTAAAAATAGCTGAGATTGGCTAACTGATATGGCTAACTGATATGGCCTTAAATAAATGTGTCTTTAGCTGTGCGCTAGCTACAGGCTAAAATCTAAAACTGGCCAGGGAGTCTTTAGCAAAAGATTCGCTGAAGATAGTCAAAACTTTTGCACATGAAGATAAAAGTTAGCCAAAATGCTACATTGAGCTTGGAGGAAAAATAGTTTGAAATTAAATATAGATATATACGGAATAGAATGTGTTAAAACAATGCCTGTGGGAGGGCTCTCCTCCTCGTTCTGATGCTGCTGCTGACGATGTGCAATTTTCAACATGTGCCAGGAGTTTAATTGTCTGTGCAGCGGCTCATTGACAGCATAATTCTAGCTGTGTGCTTTTTTTTTTTCTTAAATAAAATCCTGCCGTTGAATAGAGAGATTCCCTGAGTGTGAGGCAAACACCGGCGCAGGAAGGTATAATTTCTGCCTCCTCTCATCTTCTCTCCACGTCATTTTAGAAAATGTTGGGTTTAATTGTGCATACAGAGAGAAATCTCTCCTGAGTGTCTGAGTGAATGAATGTGAGCAGGCACCGTTCAAACACAGACTTTTTATGAGACCATTCTAAGATGTTACAATACTTTGGTGTTGCTTTTTCTTTTTCTAACTAACTGTTGTTAGTTTTGGTGACAAAATTCTTGCGTCACATTTTGTTCTGAGAGGATTTTCTGTCACATCAACGTCTTTGAAATCCTTTCAAATTCCATCCTAAAAAAAAAAAGAACCCTGAAGATTCACAGTGTTACGGACAATAATCCTTCTGTTGTTCAGAGAGAAGGAAAGCCCCGAGTATCTGCATTATTTCCCATCATCCCTCTCTCTCTTACCCCTTCTTCCT